CTTTGTCTGCGTGTTTAGTAAGCCAGCCACAGGGTCTCTTTCAAACGGTATGTTTTTAGAAGCTCGTTTTTCAGCTGTCACCTTCCAGTGGTCCAAAAGATTACCCTGAACGAGTCACTCTGTCCAGAGCTATCTGGCCCACACCGAACACAAAAGTAAAACACGGCCTGTCTCTGGAGAACAACAGCTCATAACTCAAAGATATTGGTGTCCTTGTCAATAAAATCACACATAAAGAAGATTGGGCTCAAATGAATGTACTCTCCAGAGGAATATCTTGTCAGGTGAGGCATGGTGCAGCTCTCTACCTCAGGAATGTCTCAGTGCTGTGTTTCCTCACCCATCCCCCACAACTCTGCCATTGTGAGTTGAGGGAAGGAATGCTTTTCAAAAAGTTCACAGTGACGGATGGCTGGTGTCGCCCCGTTTTCATCAAAGGCTAAATGTAGGGTACGTACACCAAGCTAGGAATCTCTTGCTAAGAAATGCATGCATGCTATTTAAAAATTAACTAAAGCATGCATAGCATGCAGTTGTTTTAATCATCTACTGTTTTGTGGTTCACAATGATCTTAGAAGGGACTGATCATCAGGAACGTGACTGTAAAGATATACACATTTAACTAATTCCAAAGGCTGTTTTTCTTTCTTGCCATAGTTGCATATTATAATTCAAATACTTTACTATAATGGCTCAGAGATGCTCTGGTTTAATGAAGAATGTGGTTTACTCTAGAGGGTGAGATGAAAATGAGCAAATTACAGCAGAGACTCATCAAATAATGAACACAAAGCCCTTAATATTACATGAAATCCAGTCTTTCATTTGTAAGTTTTTTTGCCTCCCTTGGGGGCTTCCTTTAAAGCCTTTGAAGTGAATAAGATGTTATGTCTATTATGTTAATAACGGATCTAAAATATGATGATTTTACTAATACTGTTGTAATGGTGTTCACATTTTGGATTTGGGAACTTTACTTTTGATTCTGTGTTATTATTTTTATTTGGTTTCTTTTTTTCAGTTCTGCTTCTTAATTCTTGGTAATACATTGTAGCACATGGCAGGGTGTGGCAGATTTTTTATGACTGAGGAATAGGTGGTCCTACTCAGGTGCTTGAATGTTATTGGTTGGGACAGTCCTCTAAAACACCAATACCTGGATCAGGTAGAGAAAAAAGTCAGAGGGAAGCCTAGTAGCTCTTTGTCAGCTGCACCTTCACTCCCTCCTGAAGACTTCTTTGAGCATTTTTGTTTGATTTGCTTTCCATTCACTGAGTCACCAAGGAAATGAAGGAGCAAAAGGGTGAGTGATGCGTTTAAGGCAAGGTACAGTATTATTTTATTCAATGAAAAAGCATTTTAAATTCATTTCATATGAATTTAGCTTCTACTACTGCATATCATAGCTAGTCGCTTTTACGTGTTTGTGGAATTAACCTGGAGACATCATTTGTGTTAAGGTCCAGCATAATCAGCAGAGATTTTTGAATATAAGAAGTAGTAATAAAAGTGTGCAAGACTAAGTGCATAAAAGAGAAAAAAAAGTACTATCAGAAAGCTTCAGGTGTGGAGAGTGAACACTCTGTTTCCCCAAGAGCAGGACTCTGAGGTATACAGATAGCACGGCTGGCCACAGTGGGCTCGAGGAGACCTGTGCTGCAGTTGCATCAATGATGCTAACTGACTAAACCGTCATTCAACTCAGGCCTGTGATAACGTGCCAGAGCTAAGGATTTTAACAGCAGCCTGAAACCCTCGAGCCACAAAGAAGGGCAGGCCTGGTCTCGCTCAGGCTCAGGCTCAAACTTAAACTAAGGGAGAGGCCAACATCCAATTCCTGCCGCACTCATTGCCACCCCCTCAACCTCGGAGGCTTCCTCATAAATCTCACAGTCCCAATTGCATGCTCTGCACCAACTTCCAGGTTCTGCCTCTATCTTGAAGCTTAACAGTGAAAGTAAAGCTCAAGGCTTTCCTTAATGTAACTTAGGAATCAATGTTCCTGCAAAAACACACTGATTTTGGTATATTACTTTGGGGAAACGGATGAATCGGAGCCAGAAAGAAATTCAGAGAAGAAGGTTGAAGAAAACTGCGCAGTGTTTTGGCAATGTACATTTTTATCTTTAATTTCAGACGCTGCCAGAATATTCCATGTGTTCTATCCTTCATTCCACCGGAGTCTGTATCTGTATTTGACCAGATTTCAGTGGTGTGAAGTGTAAGAGACATGGAAATACGACTTCAGTCAAAACAGCAGAAGGCAACTGAGTCATAGGTTATAAACGTGGCAATTTGAAGTTTCTCAGTTTCTACCTGCTGTTTTATGGTTTGCATTTTCAATGTTGGAAACTATTAATTTCTTCACAAGGTGCTTCCATTTATTCACTGTTGTATAGTATAGTTTATGTACTTTTTGTGTGAAATAAGCTATGCATACTTTTCAATCAATATATACTGCATTGAAAAACTGTTTAATATGAATAAATTTTCCAAACCTTGTGCCCAGTGTTTCTTTTTTTCTAAAAGTGCAACATCTCAAATCATTACAGAGCTATTATACCACCCACACCCGAGTTTCCGTGGTTCTCAGCCCCAAAGCATGATTTTTTTTCATTAGCCAACATGGAGAATTTAAGACTCAGCCCACACAAACAACCTTTACTGTTTGGCAAATGAAGCTTATTAACAATTTAAAACATGCCCTCACTGTAGCCCACACATTAAACATGTTTCTTGGTGCTAGAGAGATGCCTCTCCACTACTCCCATCACACTTCTCTCCAGTAGCGCACATTAAAGGGAAAGGCAAAGATAATAGTCTTTGCTGCTTTACTTTTCCATTCCTGAGTGTTACTCTGTGCAAGATTTCAGCATTTTGTGATGCAGATTCCATGTGTGGGCTATGCTTTGCAGCTTTTATAAAGTCTATAACTACAGGGTTTTCTTCTCTCTCTTTTTTTAAACCAGACTTGGAGATTTTAAGAACTGTGTCATTTAAAATAAAGCATTGCATCTCAAGGTTTGTGCTCATCTGTCTTTATGGCAGGGGTCTGTCTGAAATAATAATAACAAAACAGAGCTAAGCAGTATGTTCTTGGCTCATGGTTATGCATGTGGGTACATTCATGTGAATATAAACTCAACAGTGGCTGAAGCTTTTCACAGTGGCTTGAAAAATAGTAAGATTTTTTCCAAGTGGCCTCTAAAAGGTTTTAGACATTTGCACTACCAGGCTTTTAAGTGCATTGCTACAAGCAATGTGGGGGTTTTTTTCAGACAGCAAACAAACACAATTGGGACAATAAAAAAATGTGCAAGCCCTGATGAAATGCCCCCAGACACAGACGAATAACAAATCAAAGGAAATTCATGAACTCTTGACCTCTACAGTGAGGGGATCCGGTTCCCTCTGTTTTGGCTTGGGGGCACATCTCACTGGGATTTTTTGGGTTTCAGCATTTTCCTTTAGAAGAAGCATTCACACCTAAATCAATACAAATTAGTTTTGAGTCAAATCCTATTTTACTTTGAATAATTATTTTTATACTAATGGGAGTGGTCCACTCCAGGATGACAATGTCCTTGTAAACAGGACACAAGCAGTCTCTAAAATGTTTGATGTGTATGAAAATGGCAATAATGCAGTGGCTGAATCTTTTGCCTATGCACGAAGGCACGAACGACATGTTACACCATGCTCTCCATACTGATGTTGCCCGAGTCAACAGGTAAGTAATGTGAAAACACACCCCTTGTGTGAAGCATGCAGAATTCATGTCACTATGGTAACAAACACAGCTCAAAACAGTAAACCAAAGAACAAACTAACAATACTCACATGGCTCCTACATCTCCCCTACATCAGACTTAAATCCTGTGAAATCTTGTGAGTCAATCCATCCACTATGTTGCTACAGGGAAGTGGCATCTCCTTATGCACGCTTATAAAAGAGAGTGGCCAACTGACAGTTAAAATCATCATAATGCGCTACATTTTTCAAATACATTTCAAGCAATTTGGGTTGTGATAAATGCAGGACATTTACTTATAAGATAGGATTATTAAGTTAACAAAAAATGTGTGATTACCAAAAACACATTTGGGGTTGGGGGAGGGTGTAGGCTTCATAGCCAGCTTGATAGGAGGTGTTCAAGTTGGAGCTATAATAAGTGACAACATCCATAGATACAGCTGTAACAGGACGATGTGAAGGGCCAGTGAAATGTCATCCTCTGTTGACCTTTTTACCAGTAAGAAAAGAAGTATTAATGTAGAGAGGAGGGACACCTTTTCTGTTCAGTGCTAGGACCAACTCCTCAAATCACTTCATAACAAGTGAGGTCAGAGCCACTGGGTGATAGTCATTTAGTCATTGTATCTTTTTTCAGCACAGTGCTTGTGATAGGGCTGTCCACAGGCTCTTGCTTCCAACAAGCCAACTTGTGCGACTGTCTTCCAATCAAAAGTTGTTGCCCTGAGTTTGAGGATGTTGCATGATCAAGGTTGTCATTCATTTGTAGCCATTGTAATAAGTTTTAAGTTTGTTTTTGTATTATTCCTGTTGAAGTTTGGAAATAAACTAAGATGGTTTCTAAGAAGCGGGGGTTTGTTTATTGTCTGTCCCAAATGGGAAACAAAATAAATGACCTGTAGCTGCAAAACACCTGAAAATCATGCCTAATAAATCTTCTAATAAATCTAAAGTATTTTTTAATACTCTTTTTTTCTTGTTAGAATTTTCCATTTCCCAAAATGATAAGTTGTTTTTACTATTGTTATGGTTGCCAGGACATCTTTGTAAAATAGATTTTGTAAACTCAATGGATATTTTTGCTGTTTAAATAAAGATTTTTAAAAAAAAAGTTGTTAACTATAACCCTTGACATACAATAGATATATTACTAATCCAAAGATATTAATGAATGATTAACAAAAAATAGATTCCAGTCATATTCAAAACAAAACTGACTCAGCTACATTGTTTACATTTGAATTCTAGATCATTTAGACTTTTTGGAAATAAACATCCTTGATTGTTAGCAGCATTAAATCGGTCTACACAGCTGACATGGACATTTTGAAATTTTGTTTCTCTTTCTTCTTTCTCCTACACAGTTCAACAGTCGGAGAGGACACAGGTGAGAGAAAATGTTCTTACGCTGGGTTCGTATCCATTAGCAGACAGCAATACTGGAGCTGACACAGGAAGTATGAAATTTGTGATTTTCCTGTTCTCTGTTATAAAGTATGAATTATTGAGTTTCTATGCACTGCAGATGAGAAGGGTAAAATGACAGTTTCACGCCATAAAAGCGGCACTTGTTAATTGAAAGCACAGCCGTGCTGCAGAAATGTTCTGTTGTGTCTGCACCATGCTTCATTAAGCATGACATTTAATGTGACAGCAGCTGATTTCAGTGTAGGGTCACGTTGCCATGTTGTTGGTTAGACTGGTGGTCTTCCTTGAGTTTATGCACCGCTTTTAGTAGTTTGTGTCATGGCTGTTTAGTGGCGGAAGACATTGATGTCCAACAACTGGAACGTTTAGTGGAGATGCTGACACCTAAGGAGTGTGAGGACCTCCTGTCTGCCCTCTCTCACCCAGAGGAAAACATATTTGAGCACCTTCAGCGCCTCTCGCCAGAAAAAAATCTCCTAGGTCTCCAGCCTCGAGCCAAGAGAGAGACGCCTTCTGCTCTAGGTTAGCTAAACTTCTACATCTGAGGATGACAGCAACACATAAGTCACAAGCTTCTTATTTATACATTAAACATTAAGTGTCACTGTTCATTTCAATGCAAAAATAAGTTATAGAACAAATAATGCAAAGTTAACTTTTTAGCGAGAGATGAAAAGACGCTATGAGCTGTAATAAGGTATAAAGACAAAGCGCACCTTGAAACCTGTCTGTTTCTCACACAGCCAGCTCAGCTTAGAGAGTTTCTGGCAGCAAACTGACAGTCAAAGAAAAGTCTTTCTGAGGGCCATATGTTTTGTGTTTACTAGATAGTGAAGCCCAGTGCCAAACGGCCCTGACAGACTGGCTGCTGAGGTACGGCAAGGAGACCTACTATGACAGGCTTTCACGTGCCTTGCATCACATCGGCAGAACAGACATCGCCACTGGTGAGAATAATGGTGACTCCTGCCTCCTGTAGCATGGAATCATTTATTTTTAAACAGAACAACTGTGTTGTGCTACTAATGTAGTGGTTTTCAAATTAAAATGGCTGACTTTTTATACACAGTACAGTGTTGTTGATAGGAACAAATCCCTATGAGCAGACATCACAGCATGTCCCTTGACAAAAGGAAATTAGAACAAAGCCTCATTTGGGTACATGGCAGTGTATTTTCAAAATTGGTTTATTTCGGTCAAGAAGGCCTCCTCAAGATTTTAACAACAGTGTATAATTGCTTCATTACTCTGAGATTTATTTTAATTGGAACTTCAAAAGTGGCATATTTTGCAGAATGCCAGTCGTTGGCATGTGTTGCAGTCCAGTGTGCACACAAGTCCACAGCCGAGTGGCGTTGGGTAGAGGGAGGTGTAAATGATCTGACAGAGGACTCAGTGGAGCTGACACCAGCCACAGAACAAACCATCTGCTCCTTTCATCAGCAGCTTTGGAGTGAAAAAAAGACAAGGAAAGGATAGGAAGAGATGAGTTGGAGTTTGGGGTGGGGTGGGGGCCTTGATGGAAAAGCCTGGATGCAAAATGTAGCAATTATCTTACACTTGATTGCATATCTGAAGAGATCTACTCATACATCGAAACCTGAGAGATTCATTTTGTTTTATTCTGAAGGACAGCAGGAGCTCTCCTGCTAGAAGTAATTATGGTCATTGCAAAAAAACAACAATCAAATCCAATTTTACAATCTTTTATAGGATACGTAAACACATTTATACCTTGAGATGCAGAGAAATAATGATCGCTTGTGTTATTTTGTCTTCACAGAAGTGGGGAAGAACATCAACCAGGACAAAGCCCTGAGCCTGAAGCGCTATGTTGAAGATTATCACAAATATGTCAACTCTTTAAACTTTGTTTCAGACACAAAACACCAAAAGCGCGGACACCAGAGGGTCAGAAAAAGAACGGGTATGATCACTTAACTCAAAGCTTGAATTTTTCACTTTTGAGCTTGGTAGATCATAAAACAGGAAAACATGATAGACAACTAAGTCTTAGCATCTGTGTCCATGCTAAGCCCAGATCTGTGACTACGGATGTCCAAAGGAGATTTCTGGGTTATTCCTCTGGAGACTCCATGAATGACAAATGGTATAATGTTTCACTGAACCCTGAATCTATTAAGTGTTTAGATGAGATGACAGATTAGATTTGGTGGTCGTGGGCATGCTTCCAGCTCATTACTTCTCAGTATCAACACTCTCGCTATACAAGTAATATTTCCCAAGACAGTTAGGAAACCCAAAATGTAATTATCACCTGTCCATTTCGTCAGTCTCCTGGGTGCTTCATTCAAGTTAAAACTTGACAGAAATGCTCCCATAATCCTTTGAGATGGTAAGTGTGTCTGTCCTGTTTGTGCTGTGTGTGTGTCTGTGTGTGTGTTAGTTAGCGATCTGACATGGCGTGACCTGGATCTGATTGTGGAGCAGGTTCGCGTCCCTCCGTACCAGAAGGGGCCTTTGGAGGTAGCTATGCCAGTATTGTACGGTCTTCTGTTGGGCTTCGGGGGCACCTTGCTCATAGGCACAGCTTTACTCCTCGTCATTGTCCACATTTCTCATGGAAGGCTTCAGAACTGTCACTCCAGAGCCACCAGCAGTTCCAGCAGTAAAGCCATGTAGTTTGGGGAGCTTCTGGAATGTCAGATGTAAACATTCCAATTATCAAAAATGAAATAAGTGCACAAAAATAAAAGCTGAACATATTTTGTCTTCTTTGGTTTTGCTGTTCTGGTAAGTCCTGCAGAGAAATATGCCTGAAACATTCAATCATCACCAGAACCAATGCAGGACCTAAATATCGATTCTAAATCACTACTGCTAATTATGATAAATGTGACAAGCATAATGTAGTTTGAGATCAAATAATTATCCTTGTGTGTATTGCTAGACTGGTAAGTGTTATTGTCTTGCCAGTGGGTAGATGACTGGTACTGTGACAGATGCGCTGGAACCCAGCCCTTACACCAAAGGTTGTTCCGGTGTTACTGTGATAGTGATGCCACCTTCCATTTCCCCTCCAAGTGACGGCAACGTGCCCGTCTGGCATCGAAGAACAACTAATTATCCAGCCTGGCGCCTGCTTCCCCGGAGCCTGCCGATACCTCCACAGGCAATCCAAAAGACTAATAACAATGACAATGCTAGCAGACAATGGAGCACTCTTAGTTGTGATGGCAGCTTCCAGCGGGTGACAAAGCCAAACAGAAAACACAGGGCTATATTTTTTGAAAGTGTAAAGTGGGAAGGACTCTTAGCAAGCTGAAATAACTTGATATTTGAGATGCAGTAAGTCAGTCCAGAATTTGTATCAGAAGACCAACAAAATAAAAATGTCTAATTTCAAATTTACTTTGTTGACATGTGCAAGTTTTAATTAAGAAAAGCATTTTCTCAGAATATTTTTTTTACTTACTCTGCTGAGACAAACAGTTTCATAATTGCAAGATAGAAAACAAGCTCACGGCGCTGGAGTACTTTCGAGCTTCTTGTTTCTTACTCTAACACTACTTTCTTCGTCATAATTGAACTAATTACTTCATTATACAAATCTGGCCTAATGTGCTTCAGGAGTCAGACAGCTTGGATTAACAGTGGCACTAAGTAGCAATTACCGACTATTAGTTCATAAATCAACATTTAAACAAATTATAGTGCCAAGCAAAGCTGTATGAGCAAAGCTCTAAGACCAAAAGTGTGTGCGGAGTTTTGTTGTATTACCGAAGCACTGGCCTAAAATCCTAGAACATTGTAAGGGTTCCCTTTACAGTGATGTCATTTGAATTTGAATCTTCTTGGTTTGCCATAATATTCAAATGCATAAGGCAATTCACACTTCTTTGACTTTGATTTTGAAAATAAAGATGCCTTACATTGCCAGAATGTAGCCTTAACCCTGTAGCATGCAGTAATGACATTTTGTTAACAGTTTGTCTTTCTCGCCATGTGTCTTTAAACAACATTGTGTTTCACCTTCGTCGCTTAGCTTCCCAGGTGGCACAGTAAAACTCTTCATGACAAAACTTCCTCTGTCCTTCAGTTTTCCCCTGCTGGCTGTTAGGATCTTGCAGGTGCTGAGTATGACAGGTTCACCTGCTGTGGGCTCACCCGTATTTCTGTAACCAGTGGAGAGGAAAGCCAGAGTTCTGTATGCCTGAATGACTCACAGAAACAACATGTCACAAGGGGGCCTGCATCATAACTGTGACACTCTTTAGCATAGAGAAGGTCCCACCAGAAAGCTTAGTTTCTAGTTACTTTGTCAACTAAGGTTGACAAAGAAAGCTATGAGCACACCATGATCTTGTTGAGGCATCCTTCATAACTGTAAAAGGATACAATGTGGTGCACCATTTTAGATTCTATAAAGTAAAGCCTGATCATGTGATTGGATTCAGCCCCATCCTTTAAGATTCATGTCATTTCCAGAGATCCGAAGAATAGGCCAGCGTTCATTTCAAGCCATTCTCATGCAAAGGATGTAGCAATCACAGATAGCATGGCTGAATAGAGAGAGAATGTGACATGAAATTGACATTTGCAGCCAAGACGATGCCAGCGACTGAAGGTACGGTTTCCAGGCATATCCATTCTCATGTTAAACAGAAGGAGGGTTTTTTTCCTGTGGTTTCTTTGGGTTATTTAATAGTTTGTGGACCAGCTTATCAAACTGGATTCTCTGAGGAGGACACATCTGTCTCTTGTCATTGGCTCAGCTTGGCATAAGGAGTCAAGTGTTTGTCTGGATGAAAATGTAGACGGACTGGATGTAGCGCGTGCCAAGGGGACGCTCAGACAGAGGGCTGCGTCCTTGATGTGCTGAGGCTGAGCGTTCTGCACCAGGGCCTCTGGGGTGTGCTTAGTGTCACTAAAGGCTTTAACTTCCCCCTCCCTCCATTTGCATCTTCATTCATCTGCAGGGCCACTGAGGTGCTGCAGTCCCCACTCAACCATCACTCTGCCTTTGCTCAATATATATGGATCACAGGAAACAAGATCACAACACCAGCTCTTTTAAAGTCATACTTTTTTTAATCGCCTCGACTTCAGCTTTCACAACTTTACCTTTCATGGTTTCCTTGGGGGGGGGGGGGGGGGGCGGAGACTTCTTCAAAGTTTTTTAGTGCTGATCAGACAGGAGGATTTTCTCGGTTAACAGATATAGCCACAGTGCCATCCTGTGGTTATGGCACGTCAATACAGGATTCTACATGATCATTTGATTGTGTTTGTGAATGGGGTTGAACCCTACTTATGAGCAATTTTTAATGGCTATAATAAATGTCCATGTTATAAAAGCAGAAAATAATGCATATTGTCATTTATCGTTTTAAAGTGAGTTTGTATATTGCGTTTATTGCTTTAACTCCGAGAGCAGCCATAGAAAAGCAGTTTCACCTGCAGTTGTCATCTAATAAAATGCAAGAGAAAGGTGAACAGATGGTCATAATGTGATGCAGTTAGAGTTTTAGTGAGTCAGGCACACTGAATCACCAAGCAGTACTGTGTACTGTTGTCACAATAAAACGCCTCATATGCCTAAACATAGTAAATGGCCAATGCTGAAACTTCAACTTCCACCATAAATCTCCCTTTATTTTATTTATTTTATTTTTTATTTCTTTTTATTTCTTTATTTATTTTTGGTGGTGGTGGTGGGGGGGTGTTAAAGAATAAAAAATATCTGGTTGCATTATTCTACTGTATAGAATAGTGCATTGTGTGCAGCAGTTTACATGTTAAGATAAGCATGTTGCTTTCAAATCAGGGAATGTTATTACATTTTACAACAGATTAAGTTATTTTAGCTCTAATTTAAGACTTTAGAAAAAGTCATCCCAAAGGTAGGTTGAATTCCCCCAAAGAAAGGTTATGAATAACCAAGAGGTAAGCAACAGCAAAGTCATGGTAACATCTGGTAAAGGCTTTTCAGTAATGGCTGCTTGGCTTGTCTACTTGTGGAGATAAAAGCAGAAGATTTCTCCTGTGTGTTTCTGACAGGTGTGTTTCCTCTGAGCCAGAGAAAGGCAGATTTACCCATGAGACATCAGGCATAAAGAGAGCAAGCCAAACTGGTCTCAACTGGTCTGGTATTGAAGCCCATTCCTTTTTTCCTATTTTCCCCCTTTTTTCAGCTTTTAGACTTGCATTTATGGAAAATTTTATGGATCACTTTCATGTAGAACTCACTGGGATGCTAATATGTTTGTGTTAATGATTCTGCTATATTATGCAGCTGAAGCAAGTGGCAATTTCACTAATGCTTATGCGGTTAATGGTCTCAGCATACTCCATGTGACAGGCATTTGTAGGCACCCAGTTATGCGTACTGATGGTCTCTAAAGTCAAGTGTCTGTTGTGCTGAACAGTTCGGTTCTAAAAATCTGAACATACAAACACTCCATCAGTGTTGATGGAGATCTTCTAAATTGGGCTGTGAGCTTATCATTCAATTCTCAAAATAAATGAAATAATTGTACAGCAGCGATTAAATTACCATTGTGTAATAACACTCATAACACCCCTGATGACATGCTGCAAAGCATCATGTGGCTCTGTTCTACACTCTGTGTAGTGTTCTAATGAGTTCTCCCAGCATTGCACCACACTGCGTTGTTTTGCATTGTCTTGTCTAATTTCCCCACTGATACTGAAGGGCTCAGTAAGGAGCCAGAATCTATAGTCATCACTCGTTTTTTGGCGGGGGGAGGGGGTTGGTTTTTGTTGCGTTGTTGTTGTTTTTAATCTAGTAAGAGACAGGAACGCAAACAGCACCCCCACTCTGTTTAATGACTTGATAGGATGATAAAACACCTCACTTGCATACCTGTCCAACACAATAGCTGCAAATGTGTCTTGATTAGCAAGGTCAAATTTGTGTATCTCTCTAAAGACTTATCTTCTTGTTGCATGTTTGTTTACGATACTGTTTATGAAATTGAAATCACACAATTAAGTTGTTAAAAACAAAAAATAAAGACAACTCTGAGTTTTCAACAGAAAAATTCTGCTGTTTGTAGTTTCAATCATTTAATGAAGGTCAGTGGCTTTTGAAATAATTAGTTAGCATTGCTTTTGCTTTTAATGCAATAATGGTAGCGTGTAAATTCAGTGCATCTACAAGTTGATATAGGAGGAAAACAAAAATGGCAAGAAGGTTGAACAGCATCTTCAATCAGATGTGGGGTTCTGGCTTAATTCAACTATAAATAATTAACCATCTTCCAGTTAGACACGCAGACTTAATGATTTTATGCCTTAATTAATCACAAGAGAACGTTCCATTGTTGGTGCATTTAGTTGCTGCTGAACTACTGGAATGAGACAATAGGCAGCATTAATTAATACCAGATATCACTGGTCACATTTGCTCTTTGCAACTCTGGAAACAAACCCTGTCCAAAGACAATTTGCTGACATTACACAATCAAGATTTATGATGCCCCAGCTTAAAACTAGTTTGTTAATGATGCAGAACAGATCCCCAAACACAGGCCTGTAAAATGCACCAAGTGCTGTCAATTGATCAATGTCAGACAACAATTATTTAAATTTACAGAAGTGATATGCTTTTTTTCCATCATCCTCATTTCCTCAGATGAGGCTCACAAGCCCACATCCAATTTGCACAACAGTCTTTGGCTTCCTGGGTCTTTATCCAAGTGCTCCAATTTTAAATCTGATTTTGAAAGGTCAGAGCTAAATATTTTCTCGGGGAAGGCGCTTCATAAAAGCACACGAGCGCTAAATGACAAGGTCCCATAACTCAATGAGAAGATACCCTCTGACACCATGCAATTAGTCTCAATAGTATGAAACCACTGGGCGTGTAAACAAATTTAATACATAAATCTCTTGGTCTCAGATTTCTAAAAGGAACCTTGTTAATTAAACCATCATGGTCAATGAATGTGCAAGGAGTGTAAAATTAATTTTTATGTGAACTTGCTATTACAGGATTAAGAAGCTAGTCCATTATAACAGCATCTCATTTGAAAAGGGATTTAGCTGGAGGTATTTCATAGTTCAGTGTAATCATCGTTTGACCTCCAGAAAGGTTTGGTTTTTTTCTACCTATTGCTTCATTGATAAAGAGTAATTATGGAGTAATGTCACAGTATCAAGGGGGTCCGATTGGAAACAGAAGTAGTCCAAAGTCTGTTGTTCAATTTGAATACGTTAGAAAGGAATAAAATATGATGGTAACTGTAAAGTTGTAACAACACCAAATAAGAATAAACAGTTGCCCTGAGTTCATGGGTGGGTGCATAGACGATGTGAACCAGTGGCTTGGAGGTGTTACAGTATTTTAATCCCTTTCACTCTGAACAATTCACAAAAAGTTGCAACCACACGATTTCAAAAGCTATGACTGACATGTTTCTGTGATCCATATATTTATTGCATACATTATTTACTGTATTCTGTTACTTTTGTTTTTTACAGTATGGAAGCAAATTAAAAGATTCTCCTAAAGTGCAAGAAACTACTGTGTATTAAGTCACCTGGTGTTTTTAAGCTAGGCCTGCTTTACACACAAACATGTGCATAGGCCTACAGTATTGTTACTGTAAAGTAATTTAATGCTCAGTAATGACCACTGAAATTTCACAATGTTACTGCAAATAACTCGTTTAATTTCATCGTTCAATCATTTATTTTTGAGATAAAAATAAAAACAACACAAATGAAGTAACATATTTAACTAAAAATACAAAGAAAATTGATTTAGGCCAACAATCAATATTATCAAAATTTCTTAGCACAGGCAAGAGTAAGTAATGTAGATGCTTACTAAGTTTGGGATTTCTACATGAATGTGAGGGACTTGTCTTAACAGAGTGTTGTTTTTGTATTGCAATGAAAGACATCTTGATTCATACCAATAACTAATAACTTTCATAATATAACTGAAACTCAAAAACGTAACATTTATAAAAAATAATAAAATAAAAAAAAAACATTAAAAACTGGAAATTAATTGAAAGTGATTGAAATTAAATACTACAGTAATTTGAAAAAGAACATTTTCAAATGACTTTATGAAGTCCTCACCAATACTGGAGCTATAGGAATTAAGAGGAACAGCCAGGTACTGCTAATCAAATGCATCTGATTAACTGATGGTCAGTAAGTGTGACTGCCTCTATAAAAGAATACATTTTGGCTGTTTATTGGTTTATTCAGGTGTACGTTAACACATTGCCACAGTCTGCATGTCCCAGCAAATTCAAAGTCAAACCATTCAATGTTCAAAGAAAATGAAAAATAACATACCAAGACCTCAGTGAGCATGTTAAATGTTGAAGTTAATGACAGCACCATTAGAAAAAAACTGAGCATGTATGTTTTGGAAAGGTTGACAGATAAGACTTGAGTAGATATGTTTGACCACAATGCAGAGAGAACCAGAGAACCACGTCTGGTAAACCAAACATAGTATATCAGCACAAATGGTAAATGGACTGGTTCTTATATAGGGCTTTTCTACTCTATCTGAGCACTCATAGCACTTTATACAGCTAATTAATTCGCCCAGTCACACAAACACTTTTTATAAGCTGTTAAGTGCTCACTATCTAATATTCACACACATTCACACTCTGATGGATGCATCGGAGAGCAACATGGGGTTAGTATCTTGCCCAAGGATATTTGGCATGCAGACTGGAGGAGCCTGGGATCGAACCATCAACCTTCTGGTTAGTAGCTGACCTGTTCTACCACCCCAAACAACCCACAGCCAAACAACCCATACCAACTGTCAAGGGGGGTGGAGGGGCGATGATTTGGGCGCCTTGCTGTCACTGAGCTGAACTCCTCTGCATTTCAAAGGACTGCACAGACTCCTTTGAAAACTTTTTTCTAATGAGTTATCACATGTACATAACAAAAACTGCTATACTGGCTAAAGTTAGTACAACAAATGAATATAGTGGTCTATTAGCTTTTGCTAGTGTTGTGTATGGAAAATGAAAAATGACAGAGAGATTGCCTTTTCTTACACAGTACATTGAAACATTTATAGTCAAGAAAAGTAGGACAATAATAGCTCATAACCATATGTCAAACAATAGTCAAACTAATTCTTTCAATCAAAATATCCCTTAATTTAAATCAAATCAAGTCCACACAGGCAGCCTGAAAACAATGAGGCAGAGAAGAAAGAGAAGTGTAAGCTGCAGGTGATGAATTAAACACAAACACACACAGACACTTACATGCATTAAGCGATGAAAGACTTTCCCAAGGCTCCAAATTAAAGCTGATGGCCATAGAAACCTTGTAATCACTTGTGGTGCCAATTTGCTGCAGAGACGAAGGGGAGCAGAGGAGCAGATGTGTGCCAGAATACCTTAGGATGATTTCTTAATAGCGTTATAAATCCATTCATGCATCACAGGCATACCAACACCACTGACAGCCTGCTGCTAGACTAGACACCACAGGCCTTTAAGCACCTGCTACACAAACACAAGTTATCTGGCCCACACATTTCTCTTTCTTACAGTTTATACTGGCGCAAGAGGCAACAATTAAGAGTGTTATTTGGTTGTTGTAGCTCAATTCTGCCTTATGGACAATTATGAAGACTCTGATGCTTAACAGAGTTTGCAACAACAAAGCCATGAAACTGCTGATACTATGTAATCTTCCTTTCACTTATGTTTAGCCTTTTGCAGTTCCTTACCTCCACAGGGGCTTAGCCAGACTGCTCAGCTAGTTGTAGCTCACAGCTGTGGCCATGCACACTCTCATTTAATTAAAGGAGCACTTCTGTATGACTGCGCAGTCAGCAGTTCACTCCTCGGTTATTGTAAAACGTAGGCAAACTGAGCCCCAGAGTTCCCTTCATTAGCACTTGCTTGTTGCTGGTGTCTCTTGCGCTAGTACGTGCCACCCCCTGCCAGTGACGCGAAGTACTGGATACTGCCCCTGATTACTGATCAAGGTAGAACATATGAAAATTTTAGATAGTCGGATAAAAGATGAAAGCTTAAGCAGAGGACGGATTTTGGCAAGAACGCATTTCATAAATTGCAGAATAATGTCAAAATTATTGACAATATCTCCAGTATGTTTCTTCTGCTCTTGTTCACTTCAAAACATTTCCTGCAAAAGTAAAGTGACTTTTAGACACAGAATGTTCGCTACAGAATTAATAATAAGTAGGTGAACCTGTCATTTTGTATCAGGTTGTGCAAACAAACGTCAGTGTACCTGTTCCAGATCCTTCTCCTCATTAATGTTAAAATCAAGTCCCTGTTTTGCTCCCTGGGCCTGCAGCCAACAACATTTCACATATTTTAGTTAAACAGGCTTGTACACAATGTGATTCTATTAATACTGACACGACATGCAGTAAGACAGTTGGCATACAATGAAATCTCCTTTAACTGTGTGAAAGCAGTTACTCCAAAGTGCTCTTCAAAGACCTAGACTTTTGCATTACAGAACTAAAGTATACTTTAAAATCATTTGTTATCCATGCTAAGTAATATTTTTTTTTATCAGTAACCAATTTTTACGGAGCTATTTTACTTTCTATTTAGAAATGTACAACATAATCTATTTTATTAATCTTCTGAATTAAAAAAATATTAACAATTTTCTACCTTTTCATCTATAATAATTTGCTGTTGTCTTCCATGGTGTGTATGTCATGTTAGATTAATAAAAAGGCTGCTCTAGCTCATGTGACAATGAGAAACAATATGAGAGACTAAATCAGATACAGAGCATACAGCATGTGCCATGACCTTGGTGTAACGTACAGCTTTGTTTGTTGTGGCGCTTACTCTGTCACAAAACCCTGTGATATTTCTGTTTACCTTTGCTGAACCAGATAAGGTGACAAAAGCTGTACTAAGAAGAGGAATTTTTCACTTAAGAAAAAAATATATTTTTCTCCTCTGTTTAATCTGTCCCCATATCCCTAACCTTAGAGGCTTTAAACAGCATGTGTTTGTATGTGATGTTTTGAAAAGGATTTGTCTGATAAGGTTATTTTATGCAGAGAGGCCTACCTTTGAGTAGACTTCCCTCTCTCCAGAGGTCTGCTGAGCAAACAGAATGGCATCATGAACAGAAAGAAAGAGATTACTGCGGGCAATATTGCCATCTTCAAACGCTCCCCCGGCCTCCAGTTCTTCATACACCTGGGCTGCAAGTAAGGCAACTAATATTATACAGGGACAAAGACATTGTTAAACGTAGTGATTTTGCCTAACGCGCCTGTAGTATTGTAATTACAATTCTCTAAGGCAGCAAACAAGAGAAAATTTGCAGCTTTAAAGTAATCAAGCATGATAAACTACAGTCACTGTGGATCTTCCCTTTATCTCGCTGGGAAACTGAGGTTACCTGCACAAAATGATAAGCAATGTCTAACTTGTTTTCCTCTGACAGAGCACTTCACAGAGCTAATGGACTCAGTGCTTTATGAATGATTAGGTCTTTGTTGCCATGCCAACTGTACAGAGTAGCCAACAGGTGCGAACAAATGCAGGTAGTTTAAGATTTTACCTTGAACGTTAGCCAGGTACAGTTTAATTCCCAGCATCGTGTAGCCCGAGTTCATCTGCGTGGAAAATGAAAGAAAGAAAACCTGTCATGGACATGCACATACATGAACTTACAACGAAATCCAATTATTAATGCTCTCATAAAAAGGCTCGGCTGAACAGCATCTGGCTAACTGAAAATGAAATATTTGAGAAAAAAGTAAGGCATCCTTTCATGATTCAAAAATGTGTTCAACGCAGGTTAGAAGCTCTCTTTTTCTATTTGGACATAACTGCCTCAGTCTCTTTGATATGGGAATATCAAAATGAGATATTCTCTGAAATTATCATTTGTGTTAATTAACTTAGCTGTTAGACATCCATTTTATATTATTAAACATAATAAAACCCCTTTCAAAAAACTTTTGCTGCCAATTTAAACTATTTTCCAATCTAAAATAACTGCATCTTTAATCTTTTATGGTTACTTTCTGCACCATAAAACAAAATTTAAAACATTTAGTGTACTTATATTACATTACATTAATCCTATATTATATTAATCCTGACTCTGTTAGCACAGGAGAGAACTTTATAACCTTTATCAATGCTTTTATGCCCATCAGGTCTATGAAGCAGACCCCCGCCATGTCGAGGATTAGGGTGTGGAAGGGCACTGGCTGAGGCTCCAGGGTGAGAACAGGGGGACTGGATGGCTCTTGGTCAGGCAACTGCTCGTCAAGTTCAATGTCATTACAGTGGAAGTTGACATAGCTTGTAGGAAGTTCAGCATTGTTGGCACTGCCATCGTTCATATCAAAGTCATTTTGCAGTTCAAGCTGAGATATGGTCTAGATTTACAGGAAACAAATACAGAAAGGTACAGAAAGGTCACAAGTTGTACTTTCAGTGAATCACCTTTAACTCAGTGGGATATATATCAACAGTTGGATGGCCCGTAAATTACATGAGTCTGATGTCATATGAACTTGATCCTACCTGAGCTTTCATGTTAACCAAAGAGCTGGGTTTCCGCCTTCTTGACATTTTGTCCTTATCTTGTTTCACTTTTTCCTTCTGTTCTTTGTCCAAGAACTTCTGCCTGGCCAGGATAAGTTTGCCAGGGTCCAGCCCAGTCTAGGTATACAAATACTATATAAACATCTACATGTCACATGAACACATGGCCAACCTTGCCTGACGGGAAAAGTGGCCATTTTGTCTTACCTTTTTGATGACTCTCTGGCGAAATATTTCCGCGTTTGCAAAGTAGATTGGTGAGCAATAGTTAACTATTTTCACACCTGTTACTGACATGACCTGTGGAGTTGTTACAAAAAAATGAGATGCAATTCACCCCAAGTAATTTCTTATGGTAAAAAAAAATGATATATACTTAATATACCTTGCTGTACGTCTTTGGATTTCTGTAGATATCTGTATCCTTAATTTGAACAATTGTTGAACCATTGCGACTGTAAGGAAAACGTAGTTATGAAAAACTTAAAAAGTAGAGCTCATTTTTGGTTCAAATGTACTACATGTTCATACAGTTTACTCACAACTGTGTCTTGAATATAACTACCAGGATGGAAAAACTCACTCCGATAGCAACACCATAAGGCAAGCTTAGAAAGAATGTGGCCAAGAATGACACAACCCACACACACTAAAAAAGAGACAACAAGACATGAAAAAAATATAGTAAAAAAAAAAACCACTGCATTATGCTTCAATATCATATCAAATGATTTAAATTACACAGTCCAGTTTGCTCTTCTTCCATAAGTAAAAGGGATCAGAGAGCTGTAGGAGCGTGTTCTTCAGGTTTACTGCAATCAACGCTCCAAGCACTGACTTGGAGAAACAAAGGTAACTGAAGTTACTTAATATGTCTCAGTTCTTCTCTTACGTCTGTATGTTTTGTATGATATTTCAGGTTCACACTGTTATGTCCACTTACTTTTGGGAGTGGCTTTAGATAGATTCCCAGGGCGAGCATGGTGACCATTACTACTAGCATTACACACAGACTGGCAAACTACAAGAGAGCAGTAGTGCAGTAGTTAGGGGCTTTGGTAAACATTTGCTGTATTTATAGTCCATACTAAATCTTCCTCAGTAGGTTCTTAGTTATAATTTGAGTATGATCTGCACTCACTTGTGAGGTTCCTCCAGCACTGTCAACAGCCAGCGTTACAGACAGAGCACAGCAGATCACATGGATCTTAAAGAAAGACCCAAGGAAATTGCTGCAGCCTAGAGCCAACATTTCCTATTCAAAAAGACCATTTCAGTGTTGACAAAAGTGAAATAAAATACACTTCTTACATTTTTAAGAGAGATGCAGTTTTTCAAACCTGGTTGGGATTCACATCATAGCCATGCTTAGCTGCCAGTGTCCTGCCCATAGCTAAGTTGATGACGTATCCGACAATAGCCAGAGAGAAAGCTGTGCTCAACATGTCTTCCCACTGACTCACTGTTGGGAGGATCGGTGCAGGAAATCTAGAAAACAGAGACAAGAAACAAATCAGAGTTAAACATTCTTTAATGACGTTCATGAATAACAGTAGAACAAAAAAGCTGATGTCTGCTTTACCCCAGAGGAATATTGCCCACAATGTCCATGTGGTAGATCTCAGGAAGATGCAGCGGACCTGAGATGGCTGTGGCCACCACCACCTGTGTAAAACAGGAACAGAAATCACACTAGATTCTATTATATACTGTTAATTCTCATATGTGCACCCAGAAAAACATCTGTGCAACAGCTATCTCAAATATCTAAAAGAAAAAATTTTAACTACTTACGACAATGATCTCAATAGGAATAGGGAAAGGAAGTTTATGACGAAAGTGGAAACCTAGTTCTTTCACCACAATCAAAACTGCACTGCTGACCAAAGCAAAGACTAAGGAGGCTATATTGGTATCAGGAAGGCCCAATATTATATCCTTGAGAGTCTGTTTGGAAAGAAATCATTTTCAGCAAATCATAATTTTGCAAAGTATCCGATCATATTTTCTTTAATAATGAATGGGTAACTTACATATATAACAGCCAGCGGACCACTGTAAGATGGCACTGTGATGCCAAAGATGTACTTGAGCACTGAAATTAAGATTTGCAGTCCTGCAGCAGTCATGAAGCCTCTGACAAACGACTCTGACAGATAGATGGCTACAAACCCAAACTGCATGAAGCCAAGACCAATCTGCACAGACATAAATCATACTCAGTGTGCCACCTTTAAACTATATCCCATATTCCTTTCAGATTTTACCTTAAAGGACTGAGCTTTTAGTGGTATAAGTACCTGTATGATTGCAGTGAGACAGGCCAGAGTACCAGATATAGCCAGACGAACTTCATTCATCCTGTCAGTGTCCACTACTGTGGCATTAAGAGTGGCATTGAAATGACTGAAATCCGACTCAGGGGCTAGCCTAAGACACACGATTCCCACCATAATGCTGAGAACAGCAAAAGTACCTAGACATAGAAAGTAGGGTGTCACATCTATTTTCCTTGCCATATTGCAAAGCGGGCAAAGTCAGGCTCAGTGCAGCACCATGCAGCTCTGGTAACTTATCACTGTCATCACACAAAATTGCTGTAGATAAATCATTCTGATTTACCTGGGACCATCTGGTGAGCAGTGCCCATGAAGAAATATGGGATGAGGGGGAAGAAAGAGGAATAGAGACCATTGACAGGAGGAAGATTTGCAAGGAGAGCAAAAGCCATGCCTGGAAAGAAAAGAAGCTGTCAAATAAATAATAAAAAATAACACAAAACTGTTATCCACTCCACCAGCTAGCATCAGTCAAAGGCTGTTATACAGAGTTATCTGAGAGTAGAAGATTGACTGACCTTGGGGAACCTGAATGGTGCCGGCGCTGACCCCACTAATGACATCACACAGCAGGTTTTCTTTTACTTTGTACTTGGGAAGCCAGCTTAGAACCGGCAGGTGTTTAAGTAACAAGCCTTTGAGCCTGGGTACAGAACATCTAACACAAAAAAACAAAAAACTGTCTTAGAAGATCTCTGGTTTTCTGTTTGTTCATTTATAAAAGTCAATAACACACATGTAAACTTGAGTTCTAGTTATGTATCCCCGTGCTTTTGAATATAATACAGAGGCTTATCAGAAGAGTTTGTGTGAGAGAAAAGCACGTTGTTCATGTTGACTGTGCAGTAAGATTGCAGTTCGGTACCTGAAGAGTTTCTTTACTTTTTCTCCAACAGGGAACTGTCGACTCTTTTTGTCAAATTCTCTGTCAAAGTCAGGGAGGTTATATGCCGGCCTGTCAATCACATAACGTGGGCTTTCCTGTTGCATGGCTACAACATAGCAAAATATATTAAGCAGGCAGAAATTTTATGCAATGTCTTCAAAGTGAAATTTAACACATTAATATAGTAAGTCATTTGGTGTCTTTTTTGTTAAAATTTGTCATTAATTCATGAAAGTATCCATAAAAACTCAACAGCATACCTGGAACTTTATACTTCACCTTTCCCGATACTAAACCTGGCCCATATTTTAAGTGTAAGGTCCTTATCTAACCTTGATGAATGAAAGATCAGCCAAAACTTCACGGGACTAATAAAATGTTTGATCTGCACTGGGTAAATAAAAGATCATCCACAAGTTTATTCAGTCCTCAGTAATCCTTTTCTCCATGCAGGAGAAAAACTTATGCTATTTTTCACCAGAATGACAATACAATACATTATGAATACACAGATATTTTTACTTTTTATATTGAACAGATGATCCAACAGCTGTCAGTTGTAATTGTTGTTATATTTTTATAGACTGTTACACACTAAACAGGAAAAGAAGAATTTAAAGAAATAAAGCTAAAAAGAGATATAACTGCATTAAGAAAATGAAATTAGATTTAGCCTTTTTGTCTAATAAATAAATCTCCAATATGGAAATACTGTGTGAATAATATATCTTATCAATATCACAACCTAGGGATATTACATTACATCTCTTACATATAACCTGTTAATGTAAATAAGCGATTCCTAACAACTGGTGTATGCCTGTAGTGTGACTGATTGCAGCTGACTAAAATGCCGTGTGTAAAGGCAAACACAATTAGACAGATGTTAAAGCTCAACATAAAAAAGAAATTTTGTTGTACAATGTTAGATAAAAAACAGAAATTTTAAGACACTGTACTTACTTTTGCCTTGCTTACTCTTGAAGCACGTCTGCAGATGTTTGACTCAAATGAGACTTGTTTGATTACTTTTGAAGTAATGCTAAAGACCTTCTACACCTGCTGGGTGGAGCTTAAAAGGATAAAGCCTGGTGCATGCACGCTTACTGTGAAATACACTGCTCAAAAATTTAAAGAAACACTTTCAAACACATAATGAAATCATAAGGATGCCACATCATTTAATGAAAATTATCATTATCAAACCATAGATGGCTGAATTCAAAGACAACAAAGAAATCAAAGTGAAAAAATAATACAGCATGCAAGTCCATTATGCTGAATTTTCATTGTAGCAACTCAAAATTGTATTCAGATGTATGTGAAGGCCCAAGATATGCATACGTGACAATGTCAGGGGATGCTCCTAGCAAGACCATGGATGGTGTCTTCTGGGGATCTCCTCCCATATCTGGACCAGATGACTAAGCTACTGGGCAGTCTGAGGTAGCATCGAATGGACCAAAACATAATGTCCCAGAGCTGTTTTACTGGGTTTCGGCCAGGCGATTGTGGGGGGCAGTTAGCTGTTTCAGTTCCTTTATCTTTCAGGAACTGCTTGCATACTCCTGCCACATGAGGCCAAGCACTGCCTAGCCAGTAGAGGTCTGTCCGTCCATCCACAATCAAACCAGTCATGCTGAACAATGTTACCAGAAAAATAATGTTCTCCATGGCATCTCCTGACCTTTTAACATCTGGTCTCATCTATTAAAAGTACAGGAACCAGTGCTGGACTCCCAATTCCGGTAATATTTGGCAATATACTAATCAGGCTCCACAGTGTCAGGCAGTGAGCACAGGGACCACTAGAGGGCGTTGGGCCTTCAAGCCACCCTCATGAAGACTGTGCCTCATTGTTTGGTCTGAAACATACACACCAGTGACCTGCCGGAGGCAATTTCATAGGGCTGCAGCAGTGCTCATCCTGTTTCTCCTTGTACAAAGAATCAGATACTGGTCTTGCTAATGAGTTAAAGGCCTTCTATTGCCCAGTCCAGCTCTCCTAGAGCTTACATTCTCCTCCATGCTTTGGAGACTTCCCTGACAAAGCGTTCTAGCAATGACACACACTGATGTGCAGTCCTGGGAGAGTTGGACTACCTGTGCCGACTCATGATACCAGTAATGATGCTGACTCTAGCAAAATGCAAAACCAGTGAAAAAAGTCATCAGAAGAGATGAGGAAGGAAAAATGTCAGCTTCTATCTATAAAAACATTCCTGTTTGAAGGCTTGTCTCATTGTTGAATTTCACTAAAACAAATTAAATAAAACTGATTAACAATCCCTCTGCTACTTAACTGACCACATCAATGTCCCAGAAATTTAACTGACTTGATGGTATACTCTGACTGAAGTGTTCCTTTAATTTATTAAGCAGTGTAGTTAAATTGGTTAAACTTCTGATTGCCAAATGTGCCGTTTTATCAGTGTGCTACCGAGCAAGGACACAAGATGTAATTACCAATAAATGTATTTTAATAGGTTCAGTTTCTATATACATGTAGCATCCTGATATTCATACTTATCAACAGAAACACAAACAAAAATACAACTTTACATATTTTATGGGAAAAGGGTAGACATAAGATAGAGCTGGAACTAAACCAATTACAAACCAGTTTAATTTGGCGAATACAAGTAATCCTGCTAACTGCAACAAAATGATACATACAGACACCTTCTTTTCACAAAAAGGGTGAGACAGACATGACAATGTGTAACACATGATTTTGTCCCATTGTATTAGAATTTGTGTGCAAAACAATGGCATCAATATCATAGACTAAAGTGCAATTATATAGTAGTTCCATTTGTGTTTTCTCTAAAAGAGGAATGCCAGACTTCAGATAACCTCTCGACATAAAATGAAAGTCTCCCTCTGGTGGAACAAAGAGAAAAGCACAAACTTCACATGAAGGCATCGCCTTCAAGAATGAGAGAACAATAGAGCAGTTCTTCCTTTCTTACAGAAGCATGAATGTTCTTAACATTTCACATGACAGAAAGCTTTCGATGAGAACACAAAACTTTATATCTGCAGCTAAATTTCCAAAAACATAGTTCAACGAATAAATTGACAATGACAGAAATGTTATGAGAACCAGTCATTTTCCAAACAAAAACTGTGAAAAGCTGAGAGTACTGTTTGTGAATGGTGCCAACAGTAGTAAAATGCTGCAAGTACTGGTGATACGTGGCTACATGTAGCAACATGTACATGGACTTGTAGGAGAAAAAAATATAAAGAAGTGAGTGTATACATTTTTTCATGAGTCTGTATAAAACCAATGCCGCAGAGGATTTTCATCAAAAAGTAGGATGCACATAAAACATATTTAACTCATCTAAGACAGACATTTGTATCTGTACACAGAAGTGAAGGTGAACAAGTTTCAGTTAAGTTTATATAAACAAAACGTTCTCGATAATGTTGCCATTTTTGTTAGTGCACTGCAACAGCTTGATCTTTGTAGTAATGCTTCACACATAATGTTTAGTTGTGATACTAAAATAACAAGCGCTAATAGCAATAGCAGAGTAGTGCAGCAGAATAAAGAACTTGGTATTGAACAGTGGTATTGGTATAGTCTAGCAAATCCTGGACTATAATGACTATAAAACACTTCTCAAACATTAAGTCAGTGACTATCAGGAGATATGAGTATTCTGCAGTTGAGTGCTGACTGTTTGAGAGCTAATTTGGATGAAAACAATCACTCGCTGTCAAGCTAGTATAACTTTTAAGGTAAATGGTTTTAATTTTGGTTTCAATTTTATGGTTGAGTATTTTAACTTTCATTTGAAACACTAATCACTGGATTAAAAGCCTGTTATGGAGGGGATTTTCTGACTGTTTAAAAATGAAACAATCCAAAGCTGTAGCTGTTTAAAACCACCTGCACGTCTCAAATGTCCTCCACAAATTCATTCAAAAGCAGCTGACGTTTTCAGAGGTTTACAATTTCTACAGGACTGTAGCACGTAGGCCATTAAAAGTTGGAGAACAGGTTACTATGCAAATACAGAGCTTGTTAAGCAAGTGCAGCAAATGCAGCACCATGTGATAAAAGTCTGATGATTTTTTTTTAAATCTAGCCATGTCTGCTTTTCCTCTTCTTTATTATAAAAGCTCATTGTCCATCTCCCGCTGGCAGCCTAAAACCTCTTAAGTCCACCAAAGTCTTTAAAATGAGTACTGACTAAAAATCACTGAGGATGCTGATGTCCGCAAACTCCTGGCGGTAATTGTATGAGTAGTAGGCCAAGAGGAAAGACCATTTGAGGGTCAGAAAGCTCCACACACAGGAGAGGTAGAAGCTCTTCGGGTCAGTGAAAGCTGTGGGACAGAAAAAACAAGGTGGTTACTACTAGAGTTACAACAATCCTCACCTCTCTGAGTATTTGAATTGTCAGTCACTTATTTTAACATAAATGAACAACAATACAAAATTCATAAAAAAAAAAAACAGGAACAGAAAAGACAAGATTACATTGCTTCTGTGCGATGGCCATAGTTAGGAAGATAATAAAGGCAGCCACAGCCAAAACTGAGAAGAATACTCCAACAGCGATGAAGAATCTAAGACCCTTGAGCCAGGTTCGCCAGTAGTCCTGACGGTACATGATGTGTGTGATGAGAGCCCAGAGCGCTAAAACTCCTGTCAAGACAGAAAAACACAGATTTCGATTGAGTATGATAACACTGCAGCCTGAAGACTACAGAAAACCACCACGTGACAGTAATTTATGGAAATTACAGTGTTATAATAGAATGTAATAGACTACTCCCATACAAAACAAGAAAAGACTACTATTTTAGAAATTTTCTGCGAAAAAATTGTTTTAAAATAAAATTTACATGATATTCAGAAATGCAAGTAAATCACTTAAATTACTCAATTATTAAAGTTAATTAAAAAAGAACAATACGGTTTTTCTACTTGAAAGATAAATAATTATAATTTAGCATTAAAAATATCATTACAATTTTTTTTTAAATCATAATGTACCAATAATGCATTGTATTTTATAAAGATTTCAGTGACGGACTAAATTTTAAGAGTCGTTATATGATTATGGCGCTTAACTGTCCAGGCCTACATCGCGATTAGGATGCCTGACATGGCTAAATGCGCCGATATCCCGTGATAAAGTCATTAACTGTTTGCAGTGTTTTTAGTTAATGCTATGTGTTTCAACATACCTGACAGGCCTCCCATAGCCGCCGTCCATGGTTGTTTATATGCGATATTCCAGACCAAGAAAGCCGACAGTCCAAACACAGTACCAACAGTAGCATATCCTATTTTAATGTATATGTTGGTGACTCCCATGTTGGAATATTGCTACTGTTAGCCAACGTTAGCACCGTCGTCGAAGATAAAGGAGTATTTTTTCCCTCAAAACAAACTATTATTAGGTTAAACCACAGCTTACTGCCACATTATGCAATACCCTAAGCTACAGGAAAAGGACGAAATTAATTTCCCCTCCGCTAAAGAGGACCCAGGGAGAGACCGACAGCTATCCCTGCTAGCAAAACTCTATTTCGAAATAGAGATCAGTCACTTCATGTGCCTTGTACGTAATACAAAGACGAAAATGGCGTTAAGATTTCCAGCTAGCAAGCAACATCAAAATAACAACAGACGAGCTTATCCGATGTACGCCGCAAAGATGTTAGGCTATCATCGAGAAAACAAAACCACCCCGGAGAGCTGCCTCTTCAGCCGCAGAGGAAATATTTATTTCAGTAAAAAACTTTCGTTATTGGTCTTTACCTGCCACTCGCTGTTACACAACACAGGACAAACAAATGAACTAGCATTGCTAAAAACGAATTTCTATGCTCTGTTTACAAAAATTTGCCATACTATCACCTCCCCTTTAAATATCTTTGTACAGAGGAAACCCCCTTCTTATCGACACACCGCCCCTAGTGGAGCAAAGAGAAACTGCATTTATCTTAGACTTCTCTAATGGAGCTTTGTAGAATTAAATGTGTTGTGCAAAGTTGTAGGCACTGAAAACAAAATAGGAATTTATAAATTTTTAATTTGTTTATTAACTTCAACCCATTGCCTTTAGTGTTTGTGTGCACTGCACTCTCTGGGACTTTTGTTTTGAGCACCTTAAAGACCTTTGCGCAACTATTCTGCAAATTTAAACAGCTTTAATGTATTATAATTTAACAAATGTCAGAGGTGATTTGTGAAAGAAGGACAAAACCAAGAGTGAAAGGGAGGGTTTACAAGATGACAGTGAGACCTGCAATGATGTATGGTTTGGAGACGGAGACGCTAACAAAAAAGACAGGAGGCCAAGCTGGAGGGTGCAGAGCTTAAGATGCTAAGATTTTCACTGGGAGTCACCTGGATGGAGAGGATAAGAAATGAGGATATCAGAGGGAAAGCTCAGGTTCAACAGTTTGTGGACAAAGTTAGAGAGGCTAGGCTGGGTTGGACATGTGCAGAGGAGGAATATAGGGATATTTGAATATGAAGCTGGTAAGTAGGAGGAAAAGATGAAGACTGCAGAGAAGGTTAATGGGTGTATGGAAAAAGGACATACGGGGGGCTGGGTTATCAGAAGAGAATGCTAGAAATAGGGGAAGATAATCCACCATTGCAACCCCTGAAGGGAGTTCCCGAAAGAAGAAGAAGTGTCATGATTTCAGACCTACTTGATCAGGTCTCTGAAGACAATTTTATGTTGAATGCTTGATGCTTGAATGCATGATGCTTGATCAGATGTACTTTTGATAAATAAGAATGTAAGCATCTAAAATCCCTATAACTTATACAGTGCTGAAGTGCTGTTCATACATTTGCATTTTGGTCACACACAAAAAACTAACTGACCTGAGATGAATTTTTAGTTTGTCTCTTTTCTTTTTGTTTAATGCATTAGAAGTTTATGAGTAAAATGTCAAATGTTTATGTGGTCATAAGGTCAGACAAATATATCACAGTATTTTCCTGCACAAATGGACATGTGTTAATGCAGCTGCACACAGAAAAGAATAACACCAAAGACTGTATTCAAAGTAAATCATGGCTCCTGGCTAACAGTGGCAGGCATGAAGCAGTTTTCCCATGGAAAAACATAATGTATTTATAATCTCACTATGAATGGAACAGTGATAAGGATGTATAGTAAAGCGTACTGACTTTTTTTCTCAGAAGCTGAGCCTCATAGATTTCCTGTGGTTGTCTGCAGCTCGTCTACAGTCGAGACTGCTAAACAAGAAAACCACATAACCTAGTTCTGATGAACTGCAATTCACATTGCTTAGATTCAAATTCTGTCTTCATATTCTCACATACATTGCCATGTATCAGTGCTGTACTAAGCCCATGCCCCCGGGCACTCTTTTCAGGACCAATCAGAAAGACACAGGAAGCTGTGTCCAGTAGCACTCCCCGTAACTCACATAAAGTACCCTGACTGAGAGACATATGATAGAAGCGAAGGCTAGAAAAGGAAAGCAGACAAATTAAAGAACTGAAGTAATCAAACTGAAGAATCTTATAAGACTGCGACATTGGTGAGTTACTGATTGCAGAGCAAAGGATTGTGTGGAATTGTGGCAGACCATTTGGTTAGTTGTGCTAATTAATGAATATTATATGTCTATTTTAATCATAATATCTTGTGCTTTACAAAGCCCCTGCTGATTTGTCTGACAGGGTTTTAAGGATAATTTCAGTCTATGAAGGCACTTTTCCATCACAGGTGTTCAAATTCTAGTTTTTCTCCAAATAATATATTTAAATTGTTACTTTTTAGTATTTGAAACTAAGTCGGTAATGTAAATGTCAACATGTGACTGCACAGCGGGGATTAGAAGTGAAAGAACGTGGTTGACAAATGTGAAAGTGTTGCAGTGGGTGCAGAAATATTGTCTCCAACTGCTTTAATGTCTTTGCTTATGTGTGCTCTGCTTTCTGCTTCAGCCCTCAATAGACCATAAGGTCAAACAGATCAAACACGTATTTCCCTGTCACTGCTAACTGGCTTGGATAAAGGAAGGAAAATGTGTGTATGTGCAGCACATGTGTGTGTGTGTGTGTGTGTGTGTGTGTGTGTGTGTGTGTGTGTGTGTGTGTGTGTGTGTGTGTGTGTGTGTGTGTGTGAGTGTGTGCGTGCGTGTGTGCTGCATGCGCTGTGGTGAACAGATCAAAACACTGACAGAATCCATGGATGGCAGGCTTTTGAGTGTCCTTGCGAAAGGATGGCTAAATAGAGAACACGTGTTGGGATTCAGAGATTCTTTTATTGCTACCATATAATTTGCCTTATGAAGAATGTATTAATAACATGTTTCACAGTATCATTTATCAGTAATATTTCCTGCAGGGTTTATATTGCATTGAATATGTCTGTCATCACATTGACCTTTCTATTTTTACAGGTTGAGTTCATTTTATACACAATGCATAAATGTGCTTGGTTAGAGTTGATGTTCCATTCTAGAAGGTTTTAAGCTTCACTGGTGAGAGTGTCCAGATGATACATGCTGAGGGGAGATGAGAACATAGCAGGTTAATTGCATGCACGCTTACGATACACATATTAATCTAGTAGCAGGTCTGAGCGAAGGCCTAAGCGTCTTCTGCTTCAGTTTGAGACTGGCTGCAAAGTACTCTACTTAGTGATTAATGACGAGGGTCCATTATTAGCTCTCAGAGATGTTGAGACCTGAAGTTATTACCCTAAAAGGCAAGTAATGTAGAAAAGAGAAGTGACATGTCAGTGTATGGTTATTAGAAGTGTACGGGATGTACCCTTGTCTACACGGGTGGAACTTTTGCCCGTCTGTCACCATGTATTTCTGAACTGTATTGACGTAGGTGTGATATTTTATCCTATAAAACCAGAACCCAATGTATTCTTGTCAGAGCAAAACAATCCATATGCTGATGGTTGGTTGTTCTCCTGTGATAATAAAACTCATCGTTTGATTGCACTTTTCCGGAGCCTCCGTCGTTTGTTGTCTGGTCTAAAGTTGATCGATCTCGCAGCAACAAGTAAATACAACTTTAGAGACAGAAACACAGAGAGAAGCGCTGCACATAAAACAATCCATTATAGGTTGATGGTGTAATAAAATTAAGTCTATAACATTCTATAACTAATGCTTGAATTTTTTTTGTTTCATTTTGAGCATTCTTTATAAGAAACTGATCAGCGAGTTGCTCAATTTCTAAATACCCTGTGAATTGCTTTGCAGGGCATGTGCATCATCAATAGGGGGCAGCATTTATTTTCAAAGTGCCAGCCTGGAATGTGATGCAGACCTGGGTCCATAAGAGTTCAAGGTGTCAACAGTCTAAATTCAGTCTACCTTGAAATTTGGAGCTTTTTGCTGGTTATATTCTCTGGAGCTAAAACAAGGTCACCTAAATCTCCAAACGAGTTAATAAGATTTCATTTCAATCCCAGGGCCAGAAAGCAATCGCCACTGCTGAATTTTTAGGATTTTCAGGGTGAAAGCTGATCATAGTCTCAGTGCAGCTTAGGTCTTTTGATATTTGGTGCAAAACATCAATCCCCTGAAAGAATGTTTTCCCAGTAATATGCTGCTATTTACAGAAGACAATCAAGACAGTCACTTTTTCAGATGCTATCAACCAGACTGTAGCAATATGCTCTTCCTTATCAGCTAAACTATTGTATTTAAATTCCCCCAGGAGGTCATAAGAAGGAAAACCGGATTCCTTGGTTGTGAACATTCTTTATGTGGCATCAGAGAGCCCCTGTGAGCCATTTTCAAGACACAGAGAAACACACAGTTTAGTCAGAGAACACAAAATTTATCGACTAAACTTCAGCGGTAATTTCTGTTTGGTTGGGTTTGATTGCTTGGCTACTTTTAAGATTGGATTTTGAGACAATTGTGACTGGAGTGTTGTCATGACTCGAAGGAGGTCTAAACATGGTAAGAAATCATTATTCTTTTGAACATTTGCAGCAAATGTGCCTCACGGTACCTTTTAAAGTACAGTTTTCTGTACTCCAAGAGCCACCGTTCACTTACCACACGATTATGTAACAGGGTTCCAAGATGGAAGCAGTAATGTCTACAGTAAAGGTCAGCAACAGGTGCTGGGCTTTTAATAAAAACATACAAAAGAGGCGGTTTGAACACACAGCTCAAATTGCAGCCAAGCATGGAAAACATGGATGCTCTGGTCAGTGTGTGTTGTGGAAAGGTTTGGCAAAGTGACTCAGACACTGAGGTCAGTACAGGAAGGGCTGCCCTGCACTAGAACAATAGCTGGGATTTAAACAATTCTTGCATAACTTTTCCAGCCTGCAGCACACAGACATGATCCTGTTATAACAGAACATGGGAAATTAAGTTTTTAAAAGGGTCTCCTTGTCCTTATGTAAGACATTGCAAATTTACATCTGCTTGTTTTGCTATTAACTGAGAAGGGAAAACGCTACCTTCCCATTTTACTTTCTCGACTGTTAAAGAATAAAATCATTATGCTGTTTTTTCTTCACACAGATTTTGTTCAAGCTGTTTTCTTGATGGAGAACTACGTCAGAAACAGCAGTTTTCCACCAAGGCGGCGTACACCAGAGTTGGGGGACGTAAGTCACCTGCATCTATAAACGAACACAAAAAAGCCAAAAGTGTGAACTACAGGTGTAAGGTTTGAATCACAGGAAGAAATATTGAAAAATCCATTCAAAAACTGAACACCTGTTATGAATTTTATGATTTCATAAAGCTTTAATGGATACATAACACTTCAACACCAAAGGAAAAACACCTGTGAACTAGAACTGCATAAACGCATTAAGTGTTGTCCTCAAACCTAAATTACTTTCTGCCCTTGAAGCAGTTTATCTCTGCCTACAGACCCAGTTGAGCTAGGCAGCTGGATAACCTGATAAGTGTGTGGTCTATACAACGTGCTGCAGCTTGTGTGTTTTCCTGAACTACTGTACTAAACAAACTTTATTATATAGTACCTTCATGCAACATTATACCTCCTTTAATACCCCTGACCCCAAAGGTTGGGGGGAATCAACCAATTTTTTTTAACAGTTCAGCCAAGAAATGATGCAAATTTGTAACAAATAAGCCAGTTATTTTACAGAAAGGGTGCACATTTTCAGCAAGTTACTTGTTTGACTAAGACTTGTTTGAGTAAGGTTTGACATCTTTGAAAATTTCATCTCTAGCCTTCAAGAGTGAATTTGAGTTGAAATATATACATCATATTTGTCTACTCGTTGACGTGTTTTAACAGAAGGACAAAATGTTAAGGTTCTACATGCACACAGGTCAAGCTAAGTACGTCAAACACCGTTTTTAATTAGGTGGTAATACTGCCAGAAGAGGCAGTCTCTCTGATGCAGTTTCTTGTGAAAAGCCAAAGAGCGCACACACGCAACGCAGCAACAGTGCGCCTGTGCCGCGAGGGATGGCTGAACAGTACACGACTCGACCTCAGTGAGGCAGCAAGATCTGAGTTTGATGCAGGACCTGCCTGGAATTACTAGGAGGACAAAATGCGGAGTTATGAGTTCACATTGTCGCCGTGTTGAGTCGCCGCTGTGCAGTAATGAGTGTGAGACGGGGCTATCCAGATTACTGTGCCGTGAATAATGTGTAGAGCTGCCGAGCTGCAGATCTTCTGACTGGGAAACTTGTTTGTCGGTTGTTTTGATCCGAAACAAGATGCATCTCTTTCGGACTCACAATTACCAAGTGTTCCCGGACCGCTGCTCGGTGGAAAAACAGACAATACGGGGCATCAGCTGGGTATGCCTCTTTAATATTTATACATTTACTTAAGCGAAACGACTGCGGAATATTTCATGGAACATAAGCAAGAATTGCTTTTACTGCATGGTGTCACAATATGCGGATAAGAAGAGATGATAATGATGACTACGATGGCATCATAATTCACTGTCTTTTTGTATTGATCCGTTCATTTCCAAAGTAACACGACTTAAAGGCTTAGCGTTCATTAAGAAAAAATAAAATAACAGAAAAAGCTTATAAATTTGAGGTGTTGGCACAAAATAGGGCTTCCAAGATGTCATTTGCTTTCTTGCTTTAGTTCATATGAAATCACTGCTGGTAGAGCTACTGCGAGGGTAAAAGACTGTAATCATAATTTGGTATGCAAATTGGCATCTCCTAAATGTCTGACACATGTTGCCTAAAAGGCCCTAAAAGTATCCTTTACGTTGCAAGTAAGCTTCGAGATTTGGTGCTGAAATAGGAAAGACGGAAAAGTGACAGAACATTTCTGAAGATCTGGGAGCAAAATGTGTGGTTGTGTGAACAGTGCATGTAACTGAGTACAGCACAGTTTTGTGGCACTTCTCTGTTTATTTGATGTCACTATGCTGCCTTTCCTGCTCTATTTACTAGTTTTCCCAGCCTTACTTTCTCTGTATACTAGCCTCATTATAGAAACCACAGCAGAAACAATTGCAGCTAACAAGCCTACAAATTAGTTAGTTAGAGCAAATTAATTGACATCAGCATTTTCATGAGTCCAACTTTTCAAAATTCCCTCTGAATTATTATTATAGCTTGTTTTCATTGTTATTAATGTTGATGTTTCGGCTATTAAACAGACCAAGGAGTGTGAACCCTTCTCTTTTGGTTGTGGCTCACTGTGGTAGCATTTCTTGCCACTGTCTTAGTTTTTGAAAACCTATCATCAGTTGATTCCGGGAAAATAGATGGAATGTCATCCATTTAAGCAGCTGTTTTAGTCATATACAGAATAAATAAAATTAGCTCAGCCTTAACTATGTAAATCAGCTGGAGTCTCTGCATTTTGTAGATATTCAGGAACGCTTCCAAGTAGACTGAAGCAGGTTCCTCTATTGTTGTAGCAGTTGGCTGTGGTGACACAGGAAGGTAACAAAGCATATTTCATTATTATTATTTACCTCGGGTTATAAATAGTGCATTGTTTATTGTTCACGTTCCCTGAAACACCCTTGCTCAGTTTACAGAAGAGTTTGTAGAAGAATGCAAAATGAGGGAGGTTTTAGTTTCCAGGTCACAGGAAGACACATAACAGCGCTGAAAGTCTTCTAAATTTACCTGATTTGTAAGTATCAGGAGGCCAAAGATAACGTGCAGAGACTGTGTCCCAAACTGCCTGCTTTTACCAGCCAAATATCAATGTCATACTTCCGTGAACTAGTTAAAAGTTCTGCATGAACAGCAACAATTGCTTTGGATTTTTTTTACCATAACACTATGATGCACAACACACAAACCGCTTAATTAATCTAGAAGTATAAAAGTATCAATCTTTTTTTGAACGTCAGAAGTATCGCTGAACCGGATAAAACCGAGGGATATCTTACAGCTGACAAATTACAGAACTTGAAACATGCTAAATCATCCTAAATGCAAAATTGACAAATGCATGCATTCACATTGTGCATTGTGCATTTCAAATATTGTTTGTGCTATGCCAGCACATTAGTGGAATCTGACTCTGTAACAGGTAATAGCAAGCCTGTATGCTGTATTTGGCTTTACTCAAAGGTGTTTAGTTGTTTGGCAGTAGAGTGATATCCAATCTTTCTATTCATTGTCGTGTGTTATTAGTAATAAGCCCTGAAGGTTAAGCTAATTCTTTCTCTGAGCACATGAGGCAGATAAGAGCACAGCTGAGCTCATTTTTCTGTCATCATTTGCAGCATCCCTCCTGGACTTCTTGCTCCTGCATACCAGTGCTGACACATGGACACAATGCAGAAAAAATACCTCACATACATAAGGGTTCCTAAGTGTGTCTGTCTAACAGATATTGAAATGTTCTCCACATGTTTTTAACTTACGAGGCACGTTTGTTTTGATTGGTTCATAAATTAGCTATGCTATGCATAATGTTTCATGGAGTTACTGCCATTCAGTGGCAATTGGGTTACAAGCTAAATTGTGGTCCATTCAGGCTAATATCACATGATGTAGCTGCCTGTACAGCAGGCCAAATAAAACATGCCACAAAGTATGTGTGCAGTAGAAGCAGAGAAACCGATGTCTATCTCCGATGTGAAGAATCACATCAGCTACTGTTTGTTTACATGTCTTCTATGTCACGTGAGTGCTCTGCATATTTACCTTTTTTTGTTTTGTTACAACTCTTACAATCCATCAATTCAGTAGAAAGAGAGAGACTTGTGTTAAAGTGACACTAGTAAATTATTAGAACTGTGAGGCAAGTTGAAACGTAGTGTGTCCTTTATATTTTCAATTAGTTACACTGAACCCTTGGGAATACAGACAGACAACACCAGCCGCAAGATGGTCATAAAAACATAAAATCTAAGCAACAAAGGGGAAGTCTGACTTGGGTCAAAGTACAAACGTGGGAATGTTGAATATTTTTACATGGTAGGACGTTAGAGATAGCAATGATTTGACTCTTTAAGTGAGCATTTCAAGAGTGTAATGAAAAATCATTAATATTGTCTACCTGTGGCAGCTGCTTCAGTATTAATCTTTAAATGTTCAGGTTCAATTACTTTTTACATGAAAGGATAGTCTGTAGTTTAAAGCAAATATTTGTTTTAATGAAATTCAAAGAGTTTAACCATGTACCTTCTGTTGCCGAGGTCTAAATACTCTTTCCTCCCACTTCATTACACACACTTGACAACCACCCACACCATGTTGGAGACAATGGCACATCACAGGTTGAGATAATGCATCTGTAGTGACCTTCATACCAAAGAAAAGAAAACAATTTTCCGTTTCTCGATGGTCCAGCTTGGTTGTGTTTTTTTCAGACTAGCTACAACAAGATTGTCATCAACAACCAGCCCAGCTAGTTCCTGTGGAATGCTGCTCCCGAGCAATTTATTTTCTTTATTTTAGAGGTTTTAGATATGGAGAAACGGTTCACTGGGGATAAAGTATGTCTTTCTGTTTCTCCCAGACTCCACTGCCAGAGGCTCTGAATTCAAAGGACACTATGAAGCAGGTATGTATGCCAACATTTAACAGCATTTCAGTGGTGCTTTGAGACTCTCACTCTGACCATAAGGAGAACCACAATGTGAGAGCAGAGGTAAGATTTAAAGCAGAGCGTAAACACCTTCACCCCTGTCCTGAAAGATAATTTAAGCACATGTGAGATCTATTGTTGGTTATCACTAATTAGCTGATTAAACTCTAGTTAGCCTTTGACAAGTTTCACTGCACTGGTGGCTTTAGTTTTACTGACCTCCAGTATAATTCAGAGTTGCAGAGCTTGCATCCTCTCAAACTGCTGAACTTGTTCTTTTGTTGTTTATAATATCCTGCATTACTACTCAACCGAGTTTTAAAAAAACACATTCCTTGCAGGGGCAAGCAGTCATAAGGAGTCTAAAGAGCACTCCAAGGCCCACAATAAATTGACCCTCCCCACTCTCCTGAGTCCTACCTAACTCAGTCCAGGCCCCTCATGTTGCTTTATCTCAACTTCTTCAACAGCATGCCAAGTAGTGAACCTTTAAAACCCTGATAAGAAGAATTGACAGGGAAAGTGGCTTCTGTTTAGGTTCAGTGGTCTCCTTGCGACAGAAAAGGTAGAAAGCAGTACAGAGAGTGCATCTTTCAACTCCTACCCATATGGAAAAGAAATAGTAAAAACTTATAAAAGACTTGCATAGGATGTGGCCTACTTCATATAGTGAATCATATAAGGCTTATATGATTTACTCATGAAAGTGGCCACTTTCTCATTACTTTCATATATTGTTTTAATAAGTATCCAAAACATACAAGTTTCATTTATGTAATTTTTCAAGGGATCTTATATCTGCTTTTAATACAAGTTTCACACAAGACAGATACAAACTTTATAAGATTTATATATATCTTTTCCATATGGGTAAATAATCAACCCTGTGAATATTTTCGGGTTTGTAAAGACACAGAGGGAGGACAGAGCAACTGAATCTGCAGGAGACATGTGTTGCTAACCTCATTGGGGTTTTTTTTGTTATTGTTGCTTAGCAAATGTTGGCTCCCGATTGTAAAAGTCAGTAGTGAGCATCATACATTACGATAGCACTGTACAGGATTGGTGTTTGTAATAAGCAAGGTTTGATTGTGCTCCAACATTTTCCAATTCAAACATGAAATGGAAACGGAAATCTGTCTGTAATCTCTGAAAAGCTTTTTTTTTTTACATTACGTACATTTTTACCCATGTTTGCGGTATATATGTTTGCTGAAGAAGTGTGGCGTTGTTGTTTTTTCTCACAGAGAAAGAGAGGGGTAAAAATCAGCCCAAAGATGAAGCTGCTTGTCAACTCACTCTGTGCTTCTCACAACACAGCCCACTGAGGTCAAAGAGAAAGTAGAGAAATGTCTCGCCTACAAAGGAGACATGCAGTGAATGCTGCACTCATCAATATTCCACTGAATGAGACAAAGGCATGAAATTAAACATTTTAAAAGAGCATGACTAATGGTTTTAGTCGCCATCAGATTTAAGTCAAAAAGGATAAGACAGAGAAAAGATAATCCAATTGAGCTGTGATAAAGACAATTACAAGCTTTTCTCAAGCATCTAGCATGTTTGAGTAAACTGTACAACCTGTAGAACAGCTGTTCTTTGCCTGGTCCTGCAAAAAATGGCTGTAGTAATTTATAATCACAGATTAGAATCATTTCCTTGACAATTTGAGTATGATCTAGTATGGATCACGTGAGTATTATACTATACATATTCAGTCATAAATCACCTAATAATGTAGGTTCCTGACTTTAAAATTACCTAAACAACAGTATAGTGCCCTGTCATGAATATATTATGGCTGCCTGTCCAACTGTTATAGATGGCATATACATCACTGGAATATTTCTAACATTTTGAGTTATTTTCCAGTGTTAGAAAATCAGCACTGCTCAGTGTTAGCCATTGATCTTCAAAACTGACTAGGTTACTTTTAAACATATAACACTGTCAAAAGTGTTAATTTAACACTCAACAGTGTTGTATTTAACACTCAGAGGTGTGGACCCATATAGACACTCTCCAGTGTTAAATTAACACTGGAGATTTTGCTGTGTATGCACGGGCTGAGTGTGTGTTGTACTCTGTGTCACTGACTGGCACACCTGTGGGAAAAATGTTTGCTCTTTAATTTCACTCACTAGAAACAGTTACATGTGTGTTGTAGTTCTCAGATAATGGGATTAGATGGCCTAGTTCAGGAAGCAGACTCAACCACATATAGTCAGCAGCAGAGGGCTCACAGCGATGTATGGCTTTTGATGTTGTTTTTGTAAGGAATGAGTTAGGTAATGGAAAGTCGCCTCATCAAGAAAATAAGTTGGGAGTTGACAGGCATGAGAATGTGACTGCAGGAGCCCCATGGGAAAATGGGCCTCTGGGAATACAAGTGACCTCACGACACACTAACTTCAGCAGGGCACAGCAGAGGCCTCAGGACGCATTTACTCTGTTGATGTCAGGTCTGGGAAGAGTCCAGTGTCAGGGCGATAGGTTAAAGTGTACACTGTGCCCGCAGCTGTTAATTGCAATTTTAAATTAGAATTAACAACTTTGTGTGAACTTGGATTTACCAAGGATGTGTTATGGCCCACTTTAAATAGGGAAAACCAGGGGCTGTGTTGGAGTCATCGAGGCATGATGTCAGCAGATAAGTCAAACAGTAGGTGTTTTTACATCCTGAATGAATTGCAGAAACCTACAGGAGACAGAAAGTAGTTTCTGTTGCTGGCTTCTTTGCATTGCATTCTTAAGAAAAGAATATGGGAAGTAATCCGTGTTGGATTTTGTGTGAATCTCCAGGTCACCACCTTAGACAAACAACAGTGTCTAGGGGAAAATCCACAGCCTGTGTCAAGCATGTAATCACAAGACCTGTGGGAGTCAACCAGGGAGGCGCAGAATTAAAGTTTGTGCGACTGTCAGTCATTGAGACAGTAAATATCGTTGGGTGGTAGTTTAAATCAATTCTTTTATGTTCAAAATACAAAGCATAAAGCATGAGAAGGTCTAAAATTGGAGAGCTGAATTTCAGCCACAAACAAAGCACATTCTTGTTACGTAAGCTTTGCCTCTGCATGAGTGGCTGGCAGGTTGTGCACCCTTGTGAGTTCAAACCTGACCTCAGTGTGTTATGTGCAGCTATGTGTATTTGTATTACCAATATTGTTGGGACTATAGGGACAAAAAGAAAGCCCCCATAATCTCACTAAATTTGAAGATTTGGGTTTAGGTTAAAGTTATGGTCTAGGTTAATGCAACCCATTATATTATGGTGTGTGTGTGTGTGTGTGTGTGTATCTGGGTGTGTGTTTGTGTGTGCGTGTGTGTGCGTGGTCTGTTTGTCCCCATAACAACCCTTATAGGGACAAAATGCCTGTCCCCATGAGTTTAAAGGCATTTTTGAGACTCAAAATGTGGTTTTAGTGTCAGAGTTACAATTAGGTTATGGTTAGGTTCAGCCATTCATTTTTGATGGTTAGGGTTAGGGTAGGCGGCTATGGAAAGCATTATGTCAATGGGATGTCCCCACTAAGATATGAAAACAGGACTGTGTGTGT